GTACTGTATGGCTTATTAGATATGTATCGAGATATAGGTATTGTATTGTATTATACATACCGACGGTAATGCGTGTAAGTAGGTATATACTCAACTACTATATCAATATCGATAAAACAAGATATATTTTGCAATAGAGGAGTGAGGGGCAATAGAGAGATGGTGGGCTGTAGCTATGGTGGATCTTGATAATTACCTATTATATACTCGAGTACCGGTACCTTGTATAATCAAGAGTTAAAGAACCCCGAAAATCTTCCATCACCAATTATTTCTATTGAAAGATCAAACCAGATTCTACGAATACTGTACCGATTAAAGTTTCTATAATATTGCAATTATAATATTATCTTTCTACCCAACAAAAAACCTCATGAAACCACAAACCGCAAATTCAGTCCGTGTGTGCATAAAGCAAAGTATCCATGCCTTCCCCGGCCCTCTCTCCCTGCCCTGGCCCCCTCGCACCTCACACCTTTCAAATCGAAACGCGTCCTCCTGCTCCCAGCCATCTTTTTAATAAAGGTGTGTTTGCTCGGGATACCATGATTATCTCTATGTCTCAGCCTCTCAGGATCAAGATCAATATCAGGATCAGGATCAGGATCATGATCGGCAATTACCCCTCCTCTTGGTTGCGGAGCAACCAACTAGTTAGCTAGCTAGCTTCTGTAGTTTAGTCTCGCGTCGCGGGGTCAATATTAGACTTGAAGTTGAAGTTGAGATTAAAGTAGAAGTACTAGTATATACTTATACTCGAGAAATATATTAGTACTCGTTGTATAATAGATTATTCTATTTTATAATATTATTATTGATATTCGAGAAAATAAATAGAGATATCTTTAAATTAGGCAAATATAGAGTTTTAAATACTCGATCTCTTTTATATTCTTATTTAAAATTATTTCTAATACTTTATTTATTTAAAAATTTTATTTTTAAATATTTAAAATAATCTTTAATTTGTTTAGAAATTAGAAATATTCATTATTTATATACTAGATCTAAGACTAATTCTAATTAAATACTCGAATCAAAATATAGAAATAATAGATAAAAATTTATTATTATTCTCTATTCGAGAATACTCTTATAGCAAAGAGTATTGCTTCTAGAAAATCGATACAAATGATTTATTATATAAACTTTTATTGATAATATTAATTACTTGCCTAGGGAGACGAGCAGGTATAAAAGCAAGGTTTTCTATAGAGTACTTGGCATTTTGAACAAGAAGAATCTTGATTCCTGGCAAATCCGGCCCGTATCTTCGGTCTCTCTCCTGGAGATTTCGTTTCTCATACAGATAGATGTACCTACAAAACAATCAATCATTCAAATATTCTGCAGCAAGGCTTTCGGATTCAAACTTGACAAGGCTATCATATCAATCAAAGATCAAATATAGCCAGATCCAGATTCCTTTGTTTTGTATCAGGTATTTTCTCTCGTGCGTCATGAAACTTTGAGTTTGACCAGAGTGACGGAAGGTGCAGGTGGATATATATGATTTTCCACTTCATGCCCCAGAAGAAGATGACCGAGTAGCTTTACTATAAATATTATCCTTGGTTCCTTCTTTGATATTGATATTACTTGATGATTGACGTTGCCCGGTTGCTTCTACTGAGTCTACTCTATGCTATCATTGCTATGACCATATTTTCCTCGAAAAAAAGGAGATGACTTGGAACTTCTTGTGCCAAAATAAAAAAAATGATCTCGATGCTTTTTTTTTAACCCGTCCGTGGTGGATTCAATTGTGGTCATACTTTCTCACCATGGTTGGAACTAGAAGGGATCATATCATTAATTAATGATTAGGGGTCCTGGGTTCATTCGTTGGACTTACAAAGTCTATCTAGTACCTAGTTACCCGTTGATAATCATGCGAATTTCCAGGCTGAGCTGAAAGTTCGTCTCCTGAGGGGTCTGAGACTTTACTTTACTTTACTTTACTTGGTCTATCTATTTCGTACAGGAGGGGGGAGCGATTTTCTTTCGGCGTTGGTCGGCCAGGCTACCAATTTTCATTAAGTTGTTCATCAGCCAAGCAAGCCTACTATACGGAGATATAGCCTCGGAAGAAACAGGCTTATTTGGCAAGCTACGGACATGGTGTTGATACGAGCTATGGGTTTCGATTAGCACGGCATATATCCGATGAGTGCACACTGACTGCACAGTAATTTCTCAAATCAGCCTTTTGGTCCATCTTCCCAATGGAATGGTTGACCTGGACACCCACACCGCTGCTCACAGTCCCCTTCCCTCATGTTTCTGATTGAGAATCCTTTGATACAGTATTCAATATATCATCGGATAGAAGGGGTCATCATCATCTCTTCCTTTCGTCAACGACAACGACAACGATGGATCGATCGTAAGAACATAATTGATTATAGATGGCATAGGCGGCTATTCAAGAAACCATACATGGAGTACCGTACTCTGAGCATTGTTTTCTAATTCTGCCTTGAAGGATGCTGAGAGTAGAAGAAGATCATGATGAAAGAATTCTGGATAGATTAATGTATTGCTAGTTATTATAGGTCAACTTTTTATGCGAACTGAAATTAAAGGAATATGCCTGCGCTTATGGATACATATATAGTCTCTGCCCATAAAAAGACTGATATGTTCAGAGATGGAAATCAAATCATACCGATCGTGCCTATGATATAAAGAGTATACGCGCTCTCGGGAAGTATCCAGGCCAGGCATCCAGTTCCGTTCATGTCAGGGATGCCGATCGGCATTGTATTGTAAACAATGAAGCCGGTACGAAAATAGAAAACTTAAGTACGGGAGACGCGTTTGGTAAATGTTGACTTTCACGCTTTCGCGTCCATTGTTGTATTGTGTTGTGTTGTACAATTGAATGAACGAATGAAATGACGACAAACAAAACGCGAAGATACGCAGGTCGACCAATACGATACCGGAAAAGGAAGCTAGGATAATGTGATGCAATTGATGCATGAAACTTAAGGCGTAAAAGCTTATATGGCTGATAATGTTCTTTCTTAGTTACTAGACTTTAGATAGTAATTATATCTTTATATTAATTATTTTATATTCTATAACTTTGTTTTATAACTAAGAAATAGCGAAAGTAGTCCTTTGATAATATAGCTAAACATAGATAAGTTATACTATCTCGGAAATATTACACTAAATCAAACAAACGAGAGTTAATGAATGAATACTCCTTGATTGCTTTCTAATATTATTATATTTATCAACTCAACTTATAATCAAGCTGCAACAATATCATCAATCTAAATGTTACACATCTGATTCATATGAACTACCCAGCTGCATATTACTCCAAGCCTCCCAAGGTCATCTGCAGAGTACAATCCATGTTGATATCTATTTCTCACTCAGCAACCATAATGTTTGATGGACCGAGAGACCAATCCACAGCCTACCAGTTCCCTATCAGGGCTTGGCTCTCTCTCTTTCTCTCTCTCTCCACTTCGTTCGCCGCAAGGGTCTACAACAAGGTTATCATCGTTGCTGTAGCAGTAATGCCCACTTCATTCATTTCACCACTCTTTTCGCCTTTTGCTGCGAACTACAATTACTATATTACTCGAGTAAGGTGCTAAGCAACTTTGGCGGAGACCCATTAACAAGGCTAGAAGCTGAATAGATGAGTAGCTAGGCTTGATTAGTTTGGTTGCTGTGCTGTGGACAAAAGGTCTCACAAGCTATGACAGTGTAAATATCACTCGAGTAGTAATTTTTGGCTTTATGGGGGGGGACGGGGGGGGCAATTCAATCAAGTTCATGGGCAGTACAGGGAGGGGCCAATTCTATTATTTTATTTTATTCATTTTCTCATTGGAAAGCAGTTCATGAACGACTTTCACTTCAATACAACCAACACATACATGCTTGCTTTACAGGAGGATTTAAACTACAGTATGTCCTACTAAATTGAACCCAAGAGGGGTCCTGGAGTTGGAGTAGAGGTCAGCAATAGATAATAAAATAGTGAAAGGGACAATTCAAAGATTCAGACTAGATAGAGAGGGGTGCAATCACCCCAGAAACTCTATTGCACAAATAAAATAAAATAAAAAGAGTTTTATCTCCCTGACAACACCAGAGCTACAGGACCATCCAAGCAATATATGAAAACATGAACTCCACTGGCGATACCAATTGACACAATTAAATCCCGAATTTTCTTTTTCTGATTTGCTTGGATAAACTAAAAAACCCTTAGCTAAATGGAATTCTTTTATCTTCAACAAATCTGCTCTTCTTAAACTTCTTCTTGTTCATCAAGACTACTAACCCTTTCAACTTTCAACTCTATCGACCATCGACCCTTCCCTTCCCTTCCTTCCGCCATCATATCTAGGTTTGATTCGACTAGACGTCACCAAGATCCCTTAGATATCACTAAGTTCCCTTGTACCAAATCACATCGATGTAAGGAAAAAAAGAAGGTAAGGTTGATTCCCTCATCCACACCACATTTTGTCTTTGTATATGAGATATTCTCGACCATGGCTGACCATCCTTCGGAGACCTCAGATTCGACCATTTTCCCGACAAATCGATCTGTAGACCTTTATTTCGACCTGATTCTTGGTTAATAAACCAATTGAAGCCACCAAATCCTTCAAATTCACCAATCGACCAAGGACAATCCAAAAAAAAGCAAATACGGTATCTCCGATAGGTCTCGATGCACCAAGCATTCCATTAATTCTCTCCGACAACCTTTCCCAAATTCTACAACTTCTCTCTTCATCCAAGATTATTCTGCCGCTGTTCAGAGTTTGTATAGCAACGACATATGGGAATATCCTTCCCGTTTGATTGTTCGCCGTCAATCTGAACGCTCTCAATTTATACTACAATATACAATCACGTCAACTGAGCTTCCCCGCTGTGGAATTCTCTTAAATCGATTGATTCAATTGAGAGTTATAAATTTTGAGTAGTAGAATTCACCTCCAGTCTCGCATCAATTCACTATGGAATCTTCACCCATAGCTGCGATGCAGCCTTCTTCTTGTATGCCAGCTTGGGCCGGGATTGATTTGTACAGTTCACACCCACATGCACATATGTCAAGCGTCGCTGCAAATTCTTTCGGTCCAAGTGCTTTCGACTTTCGAGATTTGAGCATGAAGCATTCAGCTAATTCGGATTACTTCATGGTAAAACCTGTTCGTGGTTCTTCACCTACGGCAAGTTTGGCGGCAGATCTATCACAGAATTTTCACATTGATATGAGGTACGTTTGATTTCAAGCTCTTTCTTTTTCTTCCTCCTTTACTGACTTCTGCGATTTACAGCCCTCAATTACCGACCCCTCGTCGATCTCTATTCACGTCGAATCTTTTGGGAACATTGGAAGCTAGGGGTAAGAGCTGGTCTGCTGGAAGATTAAGACTGGAGATGTTGACAAAACATAGATTGTGCTACTACTCCTCCATTACCTTCCTCTTCGCCAGGTCCGTTGAACGAAAGAATGGATATTTCCCCTCTTCCCCATAAGCAAACATATTTCTCTGTGATTGAGATGGCATCACCGACACCTGCAGGTACGCCAATGGAGGATACAACTATGGGGTCATCTCCAATTCGCCCTAGTTTATTGGACGCACCGAAGCCTTTTGGTGCCGAGTAGGTGTAAATTACACATTCCAAAGAGTGACATGCTAATATTATCCGTAGGCGACGGAGAAATGTATTCTTACGACCCTCCCTCTCACGTACCAATCGTTTCTCGAACAATACCCGTGCTCGACAAAACGTCGAAAGTCAATTGCCTCCCTTCCGCTTCGGTGCTGGAAGCAGCAAATTGTGTACCTCTACATCAATATCTCTGGGCGAATGTTTTATGGAATCACCACCACGAGAACGTCGTCCACAATCTGCGAACAGTCCTTCAGCTGCGATCATGGCACCACCACCTCGCCTGAGTAAACCATTCTCGAGTGTGTCGAGCAGAATCAATGGATCACCAATTGGTAGCCACTCCCGCAGAACTTCCAATCCATTAGTTCGGCCTAGGAAGCAATTTCGTCGATCACTCAGCATGTTTGAAAGTCCACAAGACATTGTCAAGGACGTAGCTACGTCGAGCAACTTACATACCGTTATGGATATTGATGAAATACACCAACCAACTTTACCACATTTTTTTCAGGAAGGGCAACCTGATAGCATTCCCAGGATCGCAAAGGAGACTTTGTTGGAAATTCTTGATGGCAAATACGATGGAGAATATGAACAACGAATGATTGTTGACTGCAGATTCGAGTATGAGTTCGACGGTGGACATATCAATGGTGCCGTCAATTATAATGACAAAGAATTGTTGACCAGTCAATTGTTTGAAGCAGATGTCTCTGGCAAAACCCTCTTAATCTTCCATTGCGAATATTCCGCACATCGAGCACCCATAATGGCTCGCCACGTACGACAACAAGATCGTACAACCAATGTCGAGCAATACCCCAAACTTTCCTACCCTGAAGTGTATATCCTGGATGGTGGTTATAGTGCTTTCTTTACTGAACATCCAGGCCGTTGCTATCCCGAGAATTATGTTGAGATGGACGCCGAGGAGCATGCTTACACCTGTGAGCGTGAAATGGGAAGACTTCGACAAAACAGAACCAAGCTCAGTAGAGCACACACTTATGCTATTGGCCAACACGGACAAGTTGATGATAGCCCTACTGCACCTAGTCGATCAAAATCAAGTGGCAGTATGTTAACGACAGAAATGACGAGTTCCCCTATGATGAGCTCTCCCTTGTTTTACGATCGAGGTGCCCCACGAAGACAAGTCTCATACTAGATAATATCGTTGCATCTAATTTGGCGTTTAGGCATGGCATTGCATTCCTCAGAAGTTTGGGGTTTGTACATCCGTTCGGAACATGTTACAACACGTCAGTACAGCAGATCACCCACCTGCTTACCCTGAACTGTGTCCTTTTCTACACTCACTCACCGAATTTCTAATTTCTCGGTCCCGTCTTCCTTTAATCCGTTTTCATCTTCGAAAGGTGTAACGGAAATTTTCTATACCAAATTTGCCCTGGCGTATTGGCGTGCATAATGCATCGGCGTACTTTTTGAGTTATCAGCGACTTCTTTTTTATTGCGACTATTGAAGTCGATTCAGCGAAAACCAAACTTTTTTTTGGATCAGGAATCCTGGACCACAACACTCTTTTGACATGAAGAGCCCTTCTCGCGCTCACAAGACTTTACACACGAAACTTTTTTTTTTTACTACGATCACGATCACCGACACATGACCGAAACATTGACGACGCTATCATATTTCCTTTGACAAAGAATCAAACTTCCAGTCTCACCATCAACTTAAGGAAGATTGTCTAAAAACTCTCGACATCGACTCCAAATTTCTTACCTATTGAGATTTTCCAAATCGTACATACAACACACACATGCGCTCTCACTCATTACTTCTCCTTGGATTCAAAACATTCGATCTGCATTCAATCCCTTGTTCAACTTAGTCCCACGATAGACCGATATTCACGAAAATAACCTTTTATTAATTTCCCATTCATCAATCAAATCGTTTGCGTCGGGATCATGAGCCTTCCCTCCTTCCTAATTATTCAATTGTCACAATTATGTGTGTATTTGCAAATTCGCTTTTCTTCTCTTTGCTTTTGAGAAGAAATGCAGATGGATTGTTAAGAGATATTGGTTGAGATTTGGGGCTGGGATAGATGGATGATATGGTGGCTGAGCTTCTGCTACTTTTGTTGGGTTCAAAAAGAACTTAGTCTTATTTGTTTGACTGTATGGGTGTTCGGAGTACTGGGGATTGGGAGAAGGAACATGGAGATGGTGAATCATGGATGGAGAGAATACAGATGAATTATTTATTGCGCTATGGTATTAGACACTATGATGGATGGATGAGTATAGGGTCCTTATCGTATCATATGATGAAGCTACCGCTACTACTACTTACTTATTACTCACGAATCCTTTCGAGAGTGGTCTCTGGAAGGATTTTGTTGAGATAATTGAGATATGAAATGACAAAAAACAATACAAAATTTATACATACTTTGCCTGGGTTTTGGGTGTGCTTCAACTTCATGTTTCGATTTTAGTTTGGTTATATATGTATTGTATGTACTCGTACTCAAATATGTATGTTCGTGGTGTACAGGATTTCTACCTTTTCTCCTTGGAAGTTGTTGGATTTAGATTTGGATTTGGATTTGGATTTGGATTTGGATTTGGATTTGGATAATGATAATGTGTTATTTACATATTTATATAAAGAACCGTACCCGCACCCGCACCCACGTTCGCGCTCACCCTCGTTGGCTGAGATTTTAGGGGAGGAAGGAGGAAGGTGGAATTATAAGCGCGGTGTGTTATGAGTTTATGAGTTCATGAGTTTATGGGTGGGAATGGTGGAAATGTGGAATGTGTTGGTTGGATGAGTTTGGGTGGTTCGTGGGGAGAGTGGGAGAGGGGGTTGGGCAGAGAGTGGGGTGGGAAGGGGAGAGAAGGGGACAGAAGGGGAGACAAGGGGAGAGAAGGGGAGAGGGAGAGCATGAGAGGAAAGAGTGATAGGGGGATGGAAGGAGGGGGGAGGGGGGAGGGGGAAGGGAAGGGAGAAGAGAGGATGAGAGGAAAAGGGGAGGAAAAGGAAGAGATGGGTGAGAGGATGAATGGAGAAGGGAGGAAGGGGAGATAGTATGAGTGAGTATTTACGATTATTTCGATGAATTTGGTTTTGGAAAGAATAAGGTATAGCGGGAGATATGGCAGGTAATCAGGTATGCATTTGAAATATATTATATTATATTTCAAAACTCGAATAAGAGAGAGGGCGGGGAATGCTATGTATGGTGTATGGTGCGGTGATTATATTCACTCATTCATTATACTCGAGTATCATGATCGCTACTCGACTTTTCTGTATAAAAACTCGAAGATACCTCGTAAATTTTGAGTGCCAGTGGAGTTTTATTCTTCTTCCTATCATTATCCCATTCTCTCGATCATTGGAATTTGGAATTTGGAATCTCCTTTCTTTTCACTGGTATGCCTCTCTCTCTCTTGATTATTACTAGGATGATTTGAATTTGTGGCCAGGCTTGTTCTGGTCTGGTTCTGGTGGTTGGTTGTTTGTACTAGAGTAGGATTGTCTGAAATTGGTTTGTTTGCTGCATTATTGGTGATAGGATTTGGGATTTGGGATTGGGATATACCTAGCTGTCTTTTGTTTTTATTAATATTGTCGAGTTTTATATTTTTATGGTATTTTTCATTTTGTTTTGTTGAATTTTATTATTTATGATAGTGTTTTGTCATGTATGTTTCCTCTAATTTGGCAACGATACTAGTATCTGTCATAAATTACGAATAACATATAATCTTACATTCCAAGTTGACACAAGAATGCCTCGTGAGTCTAGATCCGAGGCGATCTTGGTCTAGGTTACTCTTTTGACAACTGTTTGAGAGATATCTCTTACTTTCTGGTATAGGGTAGTTAAGGGGAAAGGTCAGAGTTTATATATTGAATTCGTGGGAAAGAAAACTCAAAAGAGGAAGGAAGCCTGAGGAATGGATTTGTGGGGGCGATTAAGCTAACATTGGATAAGTTGAAATCTTATAGATTAGGGAGAGACAAATGATATGCATTATATACTCGTATAAAGTCATGATTCAGTAGGTTATACAGAATACCTGCGATATTCATTCGAACTAAAAGTTGGGAATAGAATGGTTTCGATTTTTAGGAATGAGATATTCTCGTTGTGATGTAGTATAGTATTAAGTTGAACAAACTGTGGAGAATCTAGAGAGAAACTGGTCAATAGCTAGGGAATATAATAAGAGTATGAATGGCCTTGGGATTTTGGATTCACCCACCTCGAGTCCCAGCAGGACTGCAACAACTATGCAGCATAAAAGGATCTCGAACTTCCATCAATTCAAAGTCTGCAATAAGGCAAACCAACTGTTGTACCATGCTTATGGCTCTTCCGGGGCCTCAGTCAGCCAGACATGATTACGAAAATTACTTGTCAGTTATAAGTACTGTTGCTGACTCGGAACTTCGGAAGCTCAAGAAAATTCGAGTCATTGGGATTTATGTTGTCAGCTATTGATTTTCGGTCTTGCTGTCAGTTATAATACTTGATTTTCTTTGCTTCTTCAATTAAGCCTCTTAAAGTGGGAGCGCTCGGACGATACTACAAATCTATTAATATTTGCCATCAAGCCGTATTCACTGCGCGGCTTCAGCGTGCAATGGAATGAGCTCTAAGCTAAATGCATGTCGTGCACTTTATCAGCTGCTTGTGCATCAGTCATTCTTCTTTTGGCAAACTTTGTGTATGAAGCCTATGTCTCTTACTTTCATCTTATGTCGCATATTGTGGTTACTATATGAAGTTCTCGCTACCCCTTTTTCGCTTGGCATCGCTTGCAACTATCGTGATTGATTGATTGATTGATTTAATTTACGTCCTTTCTCAGTCCAAGACTATATAGGACGGCTATGCCTTAAGGGCACTAGCGATTCATTGTTGGTTTTTCTAAAGATAGAAATATTCAAATTGGGGAAGTGAAAACAAATGTTGGGGAACAAAGCCCGATCTCTACTCGGCATGCAAGTAGGGATAAAAATATTGTCTTCTTCCTCTGAGACCTTTCCTTCTTCGCTCTCCCCCTACCCCTTGCCAATTAAAGCATCCCACTGATATAATATTCTGCTCCGACCCAATCTGCTATTTCACCCATCACTCTCTGCAGAGGTCAAGAGTCACCCCTGCCAAAG